ACACATTTGGAATATTTGTCCATACTTTGTATAGTGGTGGCTACTTTACAACCCACATAGGGACCATGGGGAACAAAAGTAGCCACCCTCCAGAAGGAAGGACAATGTCAGCACCAATTCAGTGAAGATTTAAAGATCTATAGTTTAGTGATACACAAATAAGTTAAATTTTTGTTAATAGTTAAGGTACTTGAATGCATTTTTAAGATGTAACTCCTGAGTTTAGTGTCACTTTAATGGTAGCCACTGTCAATTATTTCTAACTGGTGACTCTCTGTCATTTGGTATGCCAGTTCAGAGCCTTAGAGCTGGAAAACAACGTTCTAGTGTTTTCTCTCTTTGGACTGTCCTCTGCATTTAACACTGCTAACCAGACCACCCTTTATTACACACACACTGCATTTTTTTGGCTGTTGAGAAAATGCCTTCTTACGGTATTCCTCTTGCTTACAAGATTTTTTTACCGTACCGTGGTCTCCTATCCCACCAGTATGCAGGTGACACCCAGATCTACATAATCACTCCTAATACATTGGGGCAGCCATATATGCTCAGATTATAGGGGCTATTCACAAAGCTGCCCAAAGGCAGCTGAGTGAATAACCCAGCCGTAGTGAAGTGAGCAGAACGACGTTCAGGTATTCACTCCGTTTCAGTACAGCTGATTTACATTGGCTGCCTTCGGTCAGCCGAACATGCTGTGCATGTTCGGCTGAGTCAAGGGCAGAGGGAGTTCGACTTAGCCGATCCAACATCTGGATCCGAATGCCGCCTAGCAAAAAAAGAGTTGAAATTTTTTTTTAAAATGGAAATAAATAGGAAAGTAATTAAAAACCATAATTAAAAAAACAATTTGGCGGAGCCAGTGGGCACATCTAGCTCCGCCGAACTGTTTCCTATTGAGCGGCACCTGCCAGAGTCTTCTAGCAGGTCCCGGCCACTGAATAACAACTGGGTGGAGCCGGCCATGACGTTACAGTTGTTATTGGTTACTGACAGATCAGCGTCCCCAGGTCATTTGGGAACGCTGTCATCTCAACTGGGCGGAGCAAGCCGTGAGATCACAGCTGGCTCCAAACAGCTGTCAACCAGCTTCAACCTTCGGCAGGCCGCTCTCCCCGCTGCGGTTGTCACTTCGGGTTAGTCGAGCCGAAGCATATGCTTCTGGCTCGGCTGAGCCACTCTGCTGCCATCGGCTGCTGTAGGACTATAGTGAATTGAGTTTAAATGATCCGAAGGGCTGAGGTGGCCGAAGTGAGATGAAGGATCAGCCGAAGCTACGGCTGGATCCTTCAGCTTTTTAGTGAATAATCCCCTATATGTTTAGGGACAGCATAGAACTTTGCAGAGCTACACAATGATCATACTTTACTGCTTGTTTTCAAAATGCAAGTGTATTTGTCGGTCAACGCAATAAAAATGTATCAGTATTGTGTTGTTGATAATGTATATCAACATTTCTTTTGCAGGTAGTTTGAATGAGTAAAATATAGAGCTACCTCTAGTCATTAATCTAGAAAACATTCTGTGAGGGTTATTAACAAAGCTAGCCGAAGGATCAGCCGTAGCTCTGGCTGATCCTTCGGCTAGCTTCGGCCACCTGAGCCCTACGGTTCAGTACAACAGTACAACTGCTGTACAGGCTATTCACTATAGTCCGTACAGTTCCCGAAGCTGGCCGAGCCGAAGTGAAACCAGAAGCGGGGCGAACGGCCGGTCATTGAGCGGCCGAAAGCTTCGCAACTCGCAAAAGCTCCGGGTTGTGACGTCGGCCGGCTTCACACAGTTGTTATTAATTGGCGGAGACCTGCTAGAAGACTCTAGCAGGTCCCGGACAATAGGACACAGTTGGGTGGAGCTAGCTGTCACTGCTAGCTCCGCCCAATTGTTTCTTTCTTTTTTCAATAATCTTTCTTTTTTTCTTTTTTCAATAATGTTTATTGTTTTTCTTTTTTTTTTCAAATCTTTATTTTTAAAAATATATCATTTATTTACATTTATAAACATTTTTTTCAACTTTTTTTTCAACTTTTTTCTATTTTGCTCGGTACCAAGCAGAATAGCCGAGCCGAATGCCTCTCGGTGGCATTCGGCTATTCACTCACTGCTGTTCGGCCCCTATGAAAAGCAGCGAGTAGCCTGCCGGAGGTTCGTCTCAGCCGATCCAGATGTTGGATCGGCGGAGTCAAACTCCTTCTTCACTTCAGCTCAGTCGAACATGCTGAGCACGTTCAGCTGAACTGAAGCCAGCCGAAGCAAGCCGATGTACTGCTGATTTCAGCCGATGTACGGCTGAAATCAGCTGTGAATAGCCGAACAGGCTCACTTCACTTCGGGTGGGTTATTTACTCAGCTGCCTTTGGCAGCTTTGTGATTAACCCTCTGTGCCTTTAACACAAAACAAAAATGTAGAAAAGCAAGTATTTAAAAACATAAAAGTTAAACTATTTAAGTGCAAACATAATGCATACAATAATTAAGATATACAAATGGGCAAGGGAAGGTATTCAAGATACAAAATTATTAACACAAAGCGTATTCAATTCACGCTGTGGGAACTTGCAAAAGTTCCCCAAAGGGGGATCCCACCATGGTTACAAAGTGTAGAACAAAAAGTATCGTAAAAAATTAATTTATTTTTAGATATATTAAAATGTATACGTATCAAAAGACCAAACAAACATATAAACATCACATATATGACTGCTCTCGGGCTGGTATCATAGAAAGTGCAAGTGGATATAAACATACATTTCTATTCATAAGAAAAATTATACAAATAAGGTGTGCCCTGGGATGCTTGTATACCTATTGACCGTGTGTTAAATATCAGAAGGGTATCTGTGAACTCTAAATCTCAGAGTTAGAAAAAGGGAAAAGAGTCAGTCTCCTAGATCAAAAATGAGCATACACGTGTATGAAAAAAAATATATATATTGATGAAGAAAAATAGGAAGAAAAAATAAGACCGGATAAATAAAGTCAAAAGGCTTTGTTTGAATAATAAATGTTGCACTCACAGTAATGTATCTTCACTCTTGGGTCAGGATCAGGAGACCGGAGTATGTAAGAGCCCAGCTATAGATGTAGGAGCGGTTCAGGAGATATTTAACCTCATCTCGGCTTTTTGCTATCGAAATTAGCCTTTACTGAACTGTAGATGCAGGAAAGGTTCAGGAGATATTTAACCTTATCTCGGCTTTTTGCTTTTCAGATTCGCCTTTACTGAACGTGTGTTTTTGATTGTGTGTTGGTTGCATCCAGAGCAAAAGAAATAAATCCTCCTGGTTGGATTGAAGATGTACCTTTTTTGTGCTTAATCCAGTGTAGTGTCTCGTTCATATAGATGAATCTTGAGACCGGGAAGGTATCGCCATTCACATACCGTTGATCCGCTGTGGACGCAATAGGTTCAGGAGATCCAACTCTTTCTCGGCTTGTTTTATTCATTGTGGATGTTGCGCCTTTACTGAACGAATGCTCCAGCTTGTTTGGTAACTGTGTCCAAACCGGAGGGCACTCTCTTTAGCTGGATCAATGGTTTCTAGGTACTGTTCTGCTTCCAGACATCAGCATGTAGCTCAAATAGTAATCTTTTCTCTTTAGCCAGCTCTGGGTATTATAGTCCTCCAATAAAGTGTATTAGAGAGTTTCTCATCACGGAAAAAGCAAATATACAGGGCGGCCTTAGGCCGAGGCAGTCAATACAAAACCCACGTATGAAATTAATGGTAAAAGCCGCGCTGTGTGAATGAGACTGCAAAGTGTCAGATATAGTAGATACTGACCTTGGGGTAATGTGATACAATGTGTAAAAAGTGCAAAACAAAAAAGAAACGCATGCATATAACATGCACCTTAGTGTAAATGTAATTGCTACAAAATATCCATAATGAAAAATCAAATGCACTAAATATTAACTGTGAATGTGTGTGACACCCCTGATGAAGTCACGCCCTTTGACGTAACGTACGTAGGGTGGAGTAGAGGAGCTGAGCGATTTGCACACAGTGTCTGTGGCTGCTTACAAAATACCTCAATTTTATCTATGATATGTGAGTAGTATTCCCCTTTTTTTAATAAAGTCTAGTATCCTTTTAAAACCATCTGCACTACGAGTTTCCACTTTTTATTTTATCTGATGCATGGGCCATTCGGATGAACTGTCTGTTTCCAATTCCTGAGACTGCAAGAGAGTCTGTACCTGAGAGGAGGTAATCACTGGGAGGTATTCGGCATATAGAGTAGTGGCGCGAGGTTTCACATCATTCAATACAAAACCCACGCCTAAGACGCGTTTCACCCCCCACCGGGGCTTCGTCACAGATACCCTTCTGATATTTAACACCACGGTCAATAGGTATACAAGCATCCCAGAGCGCACCTTATTTATATAATTTTTCTTATGAATAGAAATGTATGTTTATATCCACTTGCACTTTCTATGATACCAGCCGAGAGCAGTCATATATGTGATGTTTGTTTGGTCTTTTGATACGTATACATTTTAATATATCTAAAAATAAATTAATTTTTTACGATCATTTTTGTTCTACACTTTGTAGACATGGTGGGATCCCCCTTTGGGGAGCTTTTGCGTTTTTGCATACAATAATTACTCAAAATATGCGCATACTATACACTTTGCTTGTCCTTTTAAGCTGCTGAATTTTTGTCTCCTTCTTTCACATTTTTCTTTTTTCTTTCTTTTAACAGGACCTGCATGTCCTGGGATCAAAAAACAAACAAACAAACGCTATCATTCTTACTCATTAACTTTCTGAGAGCCCAAAGCGGCCATACTTCTCTTGTATAACTTAGTTTCTCAATATAGAAAATATATAGGTATTATACAAAAATCAATAATAAAAGCAATAGTTACAGTTTTTTGGGTATACATTGTTTTCTATATATCTGATAAATACTATCAATACTTCATAAATGTTGTTAATACTTTGAAATGTGATATTATTAATGTTGTGCCTCTTTCTAAATTTTAGGTACTAATGGGAATTCTGCAAGTGGGCTTTGTTTCTGTATACCTGTCGGACTCCTTGCTTAGTGGATTTGCAACAGGTGCATCATTCACAATCCTTACATCTCAAATAAAATATCTTTTAGGCTTAAGTATACCACGTGCCAATGGAATTGGCTCTTCTATATATACTTGGATGTATATCTTCCAGAACATTCACCTGACCAACATTTGTGATCTTGTTACCAGCATTTTGTGCCTTTTAGTTCTGATTCCAACCAAAGAACTTAATGAATGTTTCAAGTCCAAGCTTAAGGCTCCAATCCCTGTTGAACTCTTTGTAGTTGTCGGGGCGACTCTTGCCTCTCACTTTGGTCATCTCAAAGAACAATATGGCTCTAGTATTGCAGGGCATATCCCTACTGGATTTCTAATGCCAAAGCCACCAGAATGGAACCTAATTCCCAATGTTGCTTTAGGGGCTTTGTCCATTGCAATAATTGGATTTGCAATCACGGTCTCCCTCTCAGAGATGTTTGCTAAGAAACATGGGTATGAGGTGAAGGCCAATCAGGAAATGTACGCTATTGGATTCTGCAATATCATCCCATCATTTTTTCATTGCTTTACCACAAGTGCCGCACTTGCCAAAACACTAGTTAAAGAGTCTACTGGCTGCAAAACTCAAATCTCAGGAATTATGACCTCTCTGATCATTCTGCTTGTCCTCTTGGTAATAGCTCCTCTTTTCTATTCACTTCAGAAATGTGTTTTGGGGGTTATAACCATAGTAAATTTAAGAGGTGCTCTCAGAAAGTTTTTAGATTTGCCCAAGATGTGGAAAGTAAACAAAGTGGACACTGTCATTTGGTTGGTTACCATGTTTGCATCTGCAGTAATTAGCACTGAGCTTGGACTTTTGATTGGTATCGCATTTTCTATGGTTTGTGTCATTGTAAGATCTCAAACACCAACATCATCATTATTAGGTAGGGTGGAAGCTTCTGAAGTTTATGAGTCTATGACTGTCTACAAGGATCTCAACACCACAAAAGGTGTCCCGGTGTTTCGATTTGAAGCCCCACTGTATTATGTGAACAAACATTCTTTCAAATCAGCACTGTATAAACATATTGGAGTGGATCCGCTTTTGGTGGCTACAGCAGAAAAGAAAGCAGCAAAAAAGAAAGAGAAACTAAACAAAAAGAATGTCATTATAGAGAGCAAATTTGCTGAGGTGGAAACTTTTTTGCATCTCTACCAGGAACAAATGCCCCTACATTCCGTAGTTATTGATTGTAGTGCAATTCAGTTCATAGACACTGCAGGTCTAAACACTTTAAAAGAGGTCGTAAAAGATTATAATGAAATTGGGGTCCGTGTTTTGCTGGCCCAGTGCAATATGTCTATGAGGAATTCTCTTAGAAATGGTGATTATTTTAAAAAGGAAGAAGGTTTCTTGGTATTTTATAGCATCCATCAGGCTGTGCAGTATGCACTATATGCACAGGAGCAAAAAGATGCTTGTGTGAACGGGTCTGCTGTTTGATTGCACTTCTAGTTTACAGTTCCAGCAGGTGGTGCTATATGTTAAAATATCCACTACAAAAATTGGCAGTGAATAAATTCCCACAAACTTAGATAAAACATAGTCATCAGATCTAAAACTAGATATATTTAATTTGCCATTTAACTGCGGATAACAAACGATGCTGTTCTCAACAAAAAATGATTAACAAAAAAATTCCCAAGACATGGCATTCTACAGTTTTTATCAAATGCCACAGCATGAAAAATTAAAGTGTAACGTGGACAGCAATTAGGGGGCTATACCTTAACCGTTAAGTTATAGCCTTATTTGGACAGTGCAGGTTACGGCTTAACCTACACTGTCCAAACAAAAAACTTGGTTGGAGTATCACAATAATCACAGTTGATTCTGTGCCATCTGAGTACCCTGACCAGCACCATGTCTTACTTGGCATATGTTATATCAGTGGAGATCAGCCATTCGGTGGTGAGTTAAAGAAATTCTGCATGAATCGGGGCCCTGAGGCTGGGGACTAATCTTCAAACACTGCACTCGCTTCTGATAAGGCATCTAGAGGCCTCTGTAAAAATTTGTAGACACCCATGGATACTTACTAAAATACCATCAATAGAACTCATGGAAATTGTCAGCACGCACTTTTTGTATGTCAGTGTATCACAAGGACTTTAAATGAAATAACTGTGATGTGTGAAGTCCAAGGCACAGCTGTAGATCCCAAATCACAAAAAATCACCAGTATGCCAAGTATTCTTTATTGTCTGAGCCTTCAGGATGCATGTCACTTATGTGATCTGGCCATTATTGTCATCCTCCTTACAAACTAAGGACCCAGTTGTGAGAACACATTACAGATTGTTTCGTTTTCAGTCATCAGCCTTTAAAGAGAATATCTAACTTCGATTGGCTAGTTTGAGACCTCAAATGCTATGATATTATGTGACTGTGTGGGTGTAATATTCAGTCTGTCAGTGACGCATCATCATTTTACTATGACTGTTTTCTCAGGGCTGAGCGTACTTAATAGTTATTATTTTTCTATGCACTTCCCTATTTTTCTTTAATTTAAATAAAAATATAATAAATAAATATGTGGCATGTGAGAACAGTACACTGTCCATTCGTATAATAGAAAATATAATAGAATAAAAGGTATAATAGAAAGGTTTTTATTATTAAAGAATTTAATTATAAAATATAGACCTAGAGAGAGTTACACAAGCCCCTACAGCTTTTGTATGTCTACAGGTACGTCAAAAAATCCAAATGTCATATACTCATTCAGGACATTTTGTTTTATTTCTAAACAAGAAAAAACACATTTATAAAGGAAATTAAAATTAAGCTAAAAATTTATATGGTAGTCTGTCATTAGACTTGGCCAAAGCTGGCCACACATATCTTTAATTTCGGCCAATTCCTGTGAATCAGGTAAAACTCCAGCCATGAGTGACCCTGCAAACACCACCTGGCTCAATGGCCAGCTGTAGGATTATGTTATCCAGTCTCCAGAATACAGAAGCTGACAGGGAAGATTCGTCCATCCATGCTGTTTAGTGATTTCTCTCCTTCAACGTGCTTTAGGGCCACCAGTATGGCCAACTTTGATAGACTGGATAAGTATTAGTTAAAAGAATGTACAATCATTGAATGCGCACATATAGGCAGATCAAAGCAAACTGAAATATCCTTTATTGTCACTTTCTAAATAGTAAGTTCCATTTTAGAACAGCTGTTTTTAATAAACAATATGTTTTAGGGCCAAAGCTTATACCTCACTTTGTGGCCTACAGCTTTTTTGATATCTTAATTCATGAATCTACTTGGTCTAAGGTGGTGGTTGGGACTGGCTTAACAGACTGTAGGGCTGGATCTGCTAGCTATGAGACACGGGGACAATTTTATGTCAGGAGACATCCTGCAAGGGTTCACAGGAGACAAGATTCAATACTTCATCTCCTCCAACAACTTCTTTGATCTTCATTTCCTGAACACATTTGTGAAAATGCAAAAAAGTTGTTGTATTTTCTATCTCTGTATGTCACCAGACCCAGGACCTGAATCAAATAGCAAGAGGTGCAATGTCTGTGACAAAATGTGCACCCTAAAATGGCAAATTGTAGCGCAAAAAAAAATAAAAATCTGAGCATGTGATCTTGGGTTAGTATCTCAGTGCCCTACACTTAAAGTGGACCTATACTTAAATATTAACTTATTTAGATTAAAAAAGCACAGGTTAAATCTTTCAGGAACACCAGCAGTTTTTTTCAGAGAAAACACACAAAACAATACATGAATACAAATGTTAAAAGAGAACCTTTTTTGGCTATAGTTCTCTTTTGGGTCATTGGAGAATATTTACTAATGTCCTCCTGTGACCCAAATCTTAGCATGTAGCGGGCTAATACCCACTAAGAGAAAGAAGCAGCACAGTAGCTAATCAGTTCATGTGCTGAGAAGAAGCTTGCTGACAGAGTGATGACTCAATTACTGTGCTGCTTCTCTGTACACTTTGCAGTCAAAGGCTGGGGCTAGTCTAGGGGCCAGTCCAGGAGCACCTGGGCTCAGAAGAAGTGGATTTAATGATGCTGAACTAGCAAAACTATTTTTAACGTTTTTTTTTTTTTAATCTTGAACATATTAAATACAAACAATATATACAAAGCCACCATACATTCCCTTTACACTTAAAGAGGAACTTTACCCATATCTTTAAAATATCAACAAACACACCTTTACAAATGTTTAAGAATGGCAATCTACAAACACATACTTCTAGATATTTGCAGGCTTTATATGCTTTGCGTACCTTATTTCTCTTTTCTTTCCCAGTCTTCTGACAATGGCCATTTTTACTAGAGGCAGATTGCTATATCTTCCAAAGAAAAAACATGTAGATCTTCCAGAGACATTACCACCGCTTAAATGAACCCTTTCCCCACCAAAATTAGGTGGTTATTGCCATGCTTGATAATCTGTTAGTTTGTTAGAACATTAAAAATAGCTTTTTCTGAGCCTCAAGAAGGTTCAGATCACAGTGGTTATAAATAAGGATCGGAGTGGCAAAAAGTGTCGAGAATGTATACATTTATTTCAAAGTACATTTAAAAAGTGTCACAAATGACTGAATCAGATTTCACCTTCTCACCCGTACACCCATTAAAAACTAATAGACAATGTTGTCCATCTCATTCATACCATCCACTCCTACAGTCGGGCTCCACAGTTCACTAAGTAGCAATTGCTGGTGAAGCTCTACAGGAAATGGAAGAATACTGGGATAAGTCCAGGATGTGATAAATTGGGGACAAAAAAAGTTTGTGATGTTAGTCCACAATACTGGAAGATTTATTTTTAAACAGATTCCAGACATAATGGAGTCCTTTTGTAAGTCTTGATGGGTAGAAAATAATTTGACATAGATGCTTTTAAGGGCACAAGACACTTTGGTTCGGAGACCCAATGGCAAATTCTCTAACCAGGAACAATGTAAGTTTGTTTGCAGTACTCACAGTTCTAGTTCACATGGGTTTCTCTGAGTCTCTGAACACTTTAAATCGATGTCGATCCCGTCTGTGTTGCTTTCCCCGTATATCACAGGATCACTGTCTTGCTACACAGATGAATGTCTGCATTTCCTCAGTGTACACAATTTGCTGTTCAAACAGCTGGTGGGCATTTAGCCTCCATTAATAATATCCATTCAAAAGCTTCTGCATTCTGCCCAAAGCATTGCGTTAACGCATTTCGCCCCTCCTTTCTTTTCTTGGGGCTTAGTCAGAACGAAAAACGAAGACAGTGATCTTGTGTTATACGGGAGAAGCAACAGAGACGGGATCGACATTGATCCCTGCGAAGAGATTTTCCAGGTTGTGGGATAACAATCAGACTGAGAGCGATCATCACTGGGGAGGTTAACCTTTTACTCACACAAACGGTAGCCATTGCCACCTGTTTTAATGGGAACATGCACATTCACGGCATCTGCAGTTGCAATTTTGACCTTTAAAAAGAAATGTCTATCACTGATAAGAAATAAATGAGATTAAAAGTGAAAATTACCTAGCAACAGTCCCTGGTCTTTGGTTTCAAACAGAGTAAGTCCCATCTCATACAATACAGTCATGAATGACCCTTAGGATTTCTACATAGTTTTGATGGTAAATGAGAGCTGCAGCTGCCAATTGCAGCAGCTTTTTGTTGACCCTCTAGAGGTTGTTGCAGAGCCAGCACCCATCCAATCAAAAGGTCAAAGCAGGCACTCACTTACTGCCACTTATTTTAAATACAGCTATATTTCCAAGTGACATGGTTTTACACTCTGACAACCAATATATTATTGAATTGAACTTACGATTCGTTAGAGACCAAATATTTTTTTCTTTTTTTGCACATCTCACTTAGGTCTAATGTATCTCATATTCCCATTTGAACACTGTAGTATAGGTGTGTCTGTTGTCTAACTGATTGGTATCTTCTTATACATTTAAAGGATCATTTTGTATGCTGGTAACTCCATCACAGCATGGATTATGAAATATGGCTAGAGTTGAGAGTTAGAGATGTATTAAAGTGCAGCCAAAGTTCAAATGAAACAAGACTTACACATATTTATTAGTTCTAGATTGTTTTGTGATGCCATCTACTAATGAAGATTTACAAATGAGGTTGACACTGTGTTCAGAATGACTTTCCCATTCCTTCCTCACAGTTTTCGTGTTTGTCAGATTTAACCTTTACCCTAACTTAACCTAACCCCTAAATAAATCCTTAAAGAGGAACTTTGCCCTAATCTTTAAAATGACAACAAAAGCACCTATAGAAATGTTTAGTAATAGCAATCTACAAACACATGCTTATAGATAATTGTGGGTTTTTTATTCTTTGCATCCCTTATTTTTCCTTTCCTCCCCATTTTTTTCATGGTGACCATTTTCACTAAGGGCAGATGAATACATCTCCCTTTACTTCCTGGAACTCTGGCATATGTGACTGGAGCATGTAACCATGCACATCAGGGGGTAAAACATGCCTTTCCCATGAG